GCATCGCACACCGTATGCAACAAGGCAACCATCAACCGACTTCAAGAAAGCCTCGGAACCACAAAAAAAAATCAAGGACTTACTGAAGGAGTTCCAAGACATTCTTCCCGACGATCTCCTGGACGAGCTACCGCCATACCGAACGCACCAACACGAGATCGTGGAGGAACCAAGTTCGAAACCGACCTTCCGAGCACCATATCGGCTTAGCCCCACAGAGCTAGCCGACATGAAAAAGCAGATCGAGTATCTCCTCTCCAAAGGACTCATCCGACCATCCACTTTGCCATAGGGTGCCCCAGTACTCTTCACACTGAAACCGGACGGAAGCCTGCGCATGTGCATCGATTACCGAGCTCTCAACAAGCAGACCATCAAGAACAAATACCCAATTCCACGAATCGATGACCTGCTTGACCAGCTTCGAGGAGCCACGATATTTTCAAAACTAGATCTGCTGTCCGGATACTGGCAGATACGAATGGCGGACGATTCCGTTCACAAAACTGCCTTCCGAACTCGGTACGGATCGTACGAGTATCTAGTAATGCCGTTCGGACTCACCAACGCACCTGCAACGTTCCAATCAGAGATGAATCACATCCTACGCCCACTCTTGGACGAAGGTCGCAAAACAACAGTCTACACCGACCATTGCACCCTAAAATATTTGAAGACACAACCAAGCCTCTCCAGGCGGCAGGTTTGGTGGATTGACTTCCTCGAGACACACTTCCACTACGACATCGTGTACAAGCCCGGCCACAAAAACAAAGCAGATGCGCTTAGCCGGCCTGCACACGTTGCCGCTATCCAAGCTGAAGGGATGAATCCACTCCTCAAGGAACTCTTCACACACGGGTACATCATCGACCCCGAAATTCCCTTGGCAGAAAAGCGACATCTGCTACGGTGGGGCAACGACACCGCCTACCGGAAAGGATCAACGAAGATTTGGGTACCTAATTACCCTCCTTTGCGCCAGTTACTACTCGAAGAATACCACGACGTCCTCTACGCGGGACACTTCGGTAGCAACAAGACGCTCACCGGTATCGCCAAACACTACTACTGGCCCCACATGGCAGATGACGTACAGAAATTGGTCACCTCGTGCACTACATGTCAGCGGATGAAGAGCAGCAAGCAGAAAAAGGTGGGTCTGCTACAGCCTCTTCCTGTCCCACAACAGCCATGGCAAGTGGTAAGCCTAGACTTCATCACCGGGCTACCAAATACTACAAGCGGTCATGACGCGATCCTCGTCGTCATTGACAAGTTCTCCAAAATGGGACACTTCATCCCGACACACACCACAGCACGCACCGAGGAGACAGCACAACTCTTTGTTCGCTACATCATCTCACAACATGGCATTCCAACCACACTCATCTCTGACCGAGACCCTAAGTTCACCAGTAAATTCTGGAAAGAACCAATGTCTCTGCTCGGGACCAAACTCGCCATGTCATCCGCCTACCATCCACAGACAGATGGACAGACTGAGCGCCTCAACCAAATTGTGGAGCAACTCCTCCGCGCAGCCTGCAAGGACGACATCCCGAAATGGGACTTGCATCTGCCCGTCCTGGAGTTGCGAGCAACAACAGGACCAGACGAGGGGTCAGCAAGGGTGTCAGCGACAGGCGTAGCAAGCGGCGTGAGTACGGCGTGGTCGCGGAAGAAGCAGGCAGACGCGCCGGAGTCAAGTGTGAAGGACAGCGAAGCAGTAACCGCAGACGAAGGAGGATCAAGAGTGGAGCCTAGGCTAGACAAGGCAAATGGTCCTACGCCTGACACAGCAAGGGGGGTCTGTACTACAAACTGGTGCTACGCCTAAGCTAGAGAACATAGGGTAATAAGATCCGGACACACTAGAAGCGTCAGCATACACAGAATGCAAGGTTGAACTAAGCTGATCCATGACTAGGTCAAAAACAGGCACTCTGTGGCGAAGCAGACTGGGCCAGTCAGGGAGGTCAAGGGCCGGGCCGAAGCGGCGACCAAAGAGGTCGTCGAGGCAGCGGAAGCAGCGGGCGGTCGGGTGCGGATGGCGGCACACAGTGCCACGAAGGGGACCTGTCTGGAGCTGGACCTAGCAGCCCACAGCACCGAAGCCGCCGATAGACGCTGAGCTGCGAGGACCGCCACCTCGGCCACCCCCTCCAGGGGCTCCCGGCCACCCTGGCGGGAGGGGGGCCCATGGCTAATGCTGCTGCTGCGGCTGCTGCTGCGACTGCTGCTGCTCCTGGATGCCTGCCCCAGGCCCCTTGTCAGAACCACTGTCGCCGCCACCACTACCACGCCCTCCCTTGGGGCCACGACGGCCCCGACGCTGTCGCTGGTGCTACGGGAAGGCCGCCGCTGCTGTCTCAGTGGAAAGAGCAGCAGTAGCGACTGCAGCGGAAACGTCAGCGTACGTGCACTAGGAGGGAGCATAGCCCTGAAAGATAGGGACTGCCGCAACACCGCTCAACTGAGCGATAGTGTGCTGGCGAGTCTCTATCTCAGAAAGGGTAGCGACAAAAGCGGTTAGGGTGAGTCACCAGGGTGCTGGCTAAGGAAGTGGTCGCACGCAGTAGCTAAGCGGTCAGGGAGGCGCATGGCAATAAGGTACAGGGTAGCGCAAAACGGTATGGGGAAGGCAGTGAGTTGGACAGTAGTGCTAGCAGCGCGATAGCTAGTCTGTAGTGCACGGAGGTGAGTGGCGAGATCAGCGACAGTGGGGAAAGCAGAGAGATCAGGGAAGAGCATGGGGAGGGTCAAGCGGCCAGCGGAGGTGGAGGCAGGCGTGGAGTAGCGGGCAACTACAGCATCGAGGAAATCCTTAGCGTTCGCGAGATTAATGAAACGTGGACGCTCTGACAAGAGAAGCGCATGAGTAATGGCAAGCTGCGCTACAGCATTGCGAGAATCCCAGACAGGGCGAGCTAGCGCTGCAGCAGCAGCAAAGGCCTCAATCTCAGCAGTGGTGGGGTCAGCAGGGAGGGGATCAGGGGCGGAGGGGCGAGGAAGCAAGCCATCAACATGCATAGCCAGGGAGTGCCCATCCTGGCGCTGACCTGTCAGGTGCCGGCGGAGATCAACAAGCCAGGCGGCGAAGTCGATCGCGTCCAAACAGAGCATGGCGTCCACCATCGCTCAACCACAATGGCACCGGGACACAGCGACACAGGGGCACAGCGGCACAACAGCACAGGGACTCAGCGGCTCGGTGGCAGGACTTTCCGGAACTAAACCGAACGGAAGGTCGAGGAGGGCGCACGAGGAGCAGAGGTGCACAAGGGGCCGGCATGTGGAGAGGGGCCGGCAGGGCGCGTGGGGCCTGAGGTGCACAGGAGAGGGGCCGGCTAGGTGGTAGGGGCCGGCTAGGCGGTGGGGGTCGGCGAGGTGGTAGGGGCCGGTTAGGCGGTTGGGGCCGGCTAGGTGATAGGGGCCGGCTAGGCGCGAGGGGCCGGCAAGGGGCTGGCAAGGCGCGAGGGGCCGGTCAGGCGTGAGAGGCCGGTGAGGTGTGAGGGGCCAGCTAAGGCGCGAGGGGCCGGTTAGGCCCGAGGGGCCAGTGACGGCACGAGGGGTGGGCGACTGCGCGAGGGGCCAGCGAAGGCGCAAGGGGCCGGTTAGACGCGAGGGGCGGGCCGGCTGGGCGCTAGGGGCCGACGACGACGCGAGGGGCCAGCTAGGGCGCGAGGGGCCAGCGAAGGCGCGAGGGGCTGGCTAGGCGCGAGGAGCAGGGCCGGCTGGTCGCAAATGGGCCGGCTGGGCGCTAGGGGCGGGCGACGACGGGAGGGGCCAGCGAGGGCGCGAGGGGCCAGCGAAGGCGCGAGGGGCCAGCGAAGGCGCGAGGGGCTGGTGACGACGCGAGGGGCGGGCCGGCTGGGCGCAAGGGGCCAGCTAGGGGGCAAGGGGCCGGCTAGGGCGCAAGGGGCCGGCTAGGGCGCAAAGGGCCGACGGGCACGCTAGGGGCCGGCGAGGCGCGGTAGGCTAGGGCGCGGGGCGGAAGCGGGTGGGGGGGACCTAACCTACGCATGATACCATGTCAGAATACAAGAATGATTAGGAACAAGGATGAACAAGAGAGATATATGGTTGGAGTTGTAACCTCTAAGAACACACCTATCTAGCCTATAACTTCTACATACAAATGCATGTATAAGTTGACAGTCTTCGCATACTGTTACAGCACACGAGTCTCCTGAAATGCGGTGCAGACTGCTTATCGTTTCCAACAAAGGTAATGCCAGGAGAGGTAGATGCTGCTCCTAGGAGACTTGAGCTCAAGCAATGCCAGGCATGTTATAATTCATTCATTATCCAATAGCTACACCAAAAGTAACGAGGGTTATTTTGGCTCTACGTAAGGGGTATCGTTCAGCTGAATTTGTAGTTTACCCTGTTTCGAATCGGCTCGGAAGCTGAGGAAATGTCAAGACAGGCATACGCGGTATTGGCGCAGCCTGTATCGAGGGCAAACTCGTCTATTTAGCTTGTCTTTTTCGCACTTCGCGCCCTTTTTTGGCGCCTGTCAAGATGGGGGCTCTCTGTGGTAATGCCGGTGGATCAGCCATCCATAATTTTTTTTCCTGCGTCTGCCAAATCGGCGATAACCGTCACAAGAATTCACCTTCTCTTCGGTAAAATCGGTTCCAAACGGTGCTGTGTAATTTGGAGCGATTTGCTATTCTGCCCGCTTGGAACCGTTTTTCACCGCTCTGAACCTTGGTACATGAACAAAAGACGATCACGGCTTCTTCTGCTGTTCTGTTTTTTTTTAACGACGGATTCAAAATTCACGCAAATGTCCTCCAAGCTCGCGCTCTGCATCCTCGGTCAACTTCACCATTAGCGCCCATCCCCTCCGCCGCGGTCAAGAACTCCACATTCCGCTCAGCGCGCGCCGCTTGAAAGGGGCGTGGCCCGCATTTCAGGTGCTCTGCTCTGCGGGACACATCCCACCCTTGTCACTTCTGCCGTCCTTCTATCCGCTTCCATTGCAGAACCTTCCGTTTCCATGGAAGACAAAGGCAGAAGAGGCACAGAGGCAAGAGGCACAGAGGCTCTACTGTCGGCTCTCACAGCAGAACAGTGCACGTTACCCTCTGATCAAACAGCCGTCCCTAAACCGTCCGACTGATCCCTCCGTGCGTCCAGCGGCGAGCACCAAATGGCCGTACCTGACGCGCCGCTGAGCCCCGAGCCTGTGAGGTTCGGCATCCTAGGCACGGCGAGGATCGCGCGGAAGGTGATTCGCGCGATGCACAGCGTGCCGGGGGTCGCCCCGTACGCCATAGGCAGTCGCTCGTTCGACCGAGCCGCGCAGTTTGCTAGGGAGGTCGGCATGGCCGACGACGCCGCGATTTACGGCAACTACGCTGACGTCATCGCGGACCCGCTAGTGGACGCCGTTTATATCCCGCTGCCGACCGGGCTCCACGTGGAATGGGTGGTGAAAGCCGCGAATCACGGAAAGCACATTCTGCTGGAAAAACCCGTGGCGCTGAATGTGGACGACCTTAATGCGATGATCGCAGCCGTCGATACGGCGGGGGTTCAGATCATGGATGCCACGATGTGGATGCACAACCCGCGGGCAGCCGAAATGAAAGCGGTCATGCGGGACAGAAAAGATTTTGGGCAGCTGATGCGCGTGACGTCGAATTTCTTCTTCCCGGGATCGGAGGAATTCATGCAGAAGGACATTCGGCTGAAGAAGGATCTGGACGGGCTGGGGTGCTTGGGAGATATCGGGTGGTACTGCGTGCGCGCGTCGCTCTGGGCTGCGGATTTCGAGCTTCCGTACAGAGTGATTGGTCTCCCTGATGCGAAGGTCAACGAAGAAGGCGTTTTGATTCGCTGCGGTGGTTACCTGTGCTGGCGAAACGGGCTAACGGGTCTCTTCCAGTGCGGATTCGATTCTCTTGACTCTCAGCGGCTTGAGTTGGCGTTCTCCCGCGCTACAGTCACCCTCGACGACCTCACCATTCCCTTCCAGGAAGATAAGTGCGAATTTGTGATTGAAAAGGGGTCCAAGTGGCCGAATCCAAGTCTGGGGGTGAAATCGACGGTAGAGAGGAGGGAGATCGTGCTGACGTGGACGCAGGAGGCGATGATGGTTGCTGAGCTGGCACGGATCGTGAGGGGGGTGAGAGGGGGGGAAGGCAAGGCGGCATTGGATGGGAGATGGGTTGACATGATGGCGAAGACGCAGCGCGTGGTGTGCGCCGTGCACGACTCCATAGCGCAGGGGGGGACGCCGGTGCTGCTTGAAGGCCAATAGTACCGGTAAATACTAAGTTTCAAATGGGTGGGGGACGCTGGTGCAGATTTAGGGTCAATGGTACATACCAACGATGGGGTATTCGCCGTGCATGACTCCATAGCGCAGGGGGGGACGCCTGACCTGGTTGGTAGTGATTCTGAACGGCTTCAGCCGGTAGGGAACGGTACAGAATAGAGGTTGATATGAACTAGGTATGGGATGATGATTTTGAGTGTAGCAAGACTCTGTATAGTGTTAAATTGTAGAGAGAATTATGAATTAAGGAAAGTGTTGAGGGTAACAAAGGTAGGACTGTACCCTCTAAGGCTATAAGGAATATAAACTAGCCAGCCTTGATAATTATACATGTAATTTTTTTTCATGTGTAACACTTACTAAAAATGTGTATTGTGAAATTGAAGTGAGGGCCAACGCACCAAAGGCAGTGTCGTACTACTTGTTAACGTAGAAACGAATGAATTACTAGGAAGAGAAACATAGAACAAATACCAGTTGGTCGTACTCACTAGAAGCACACACCTAGTCTAGCCTATAACTTCTACATAGATAATATGTATAAGTTGACACACCCCCTAGGCTAGAAAAGGGGTGGAGCTAAGCAAGAAGCACACAGCCCAGGGTGGCACTACTAGACCAACCACTGAGACAGGGGTCTGGAGACCAGTCAGCAAGAGTACAAACAAGACTAAAACCAACCAGGGCGGCACTACTAGTCCAGCCACTGGAGGTAAGGCCACAAGGCCAGTCAGACAGGTATATATATAGTAGAGAGTACACAATCAGGGTCCTAACAAGTGAGAAGCTACAGGAACAAGACCAAGCTGTACACAGTGCCGCTGATGATCTCTAGGCGCAAGCGACTTAGTAAAGATATCAGCTGTATTGGCACCGGAGGCCAAGTGAACGACGCGGGCCTGGCGACGCTGCTGTAGCTCGCGCAGGAGGAAGTACCGCAGCTGGATATGCTTCGCCCGGCCCTCAAGTCGAGGCTCCTGACACAGGAGAATCATGGCCCTGTTGTCAGCGTACAGGACCGGGGCAGAACTAGGCCGCTCACCTAAGTCAGTGAGCAAGAAGGTCAGCCAGCGGAGCTCCTGTGCCGCCATGGCACCAGCGTAGATCTCAGCCTCACAGCAAGACTGAGCAACAGACGACGAGCGAGTGGATCTCCAAGAGATAGCACCCGAACCAAGGCTGAAACAGTAGCCCTGAGACGACCTAAGAGTCTCAGAGTCGTCTGCCCAAGAAGCGTCTGTGTGCCCAGTGAGGACCACTGGCCTGCGTCCTCCTAGCACTAACCCCATGCCCGATGTACTTGCTACATATCGCAAAACCCTCTTAGCGGCCGACCAGTGCTGAGGTCGGTGTCTGCCAGTGGCCACAAAGCGAGCCAGGATGCTGAGAGGGTATGCAAGATCTGGGCGAGTGCAAGTCATCAGGTACATGAGGCAACCCACCAGCTCTGCGTAGGGGCCACTGGGCTCTACTGGCTCCTCAGGAACAGGAGCGGAGAGCCCATGGTCTACTGGAAGAGGTGTGGGCTGTGCGGAGGAGAACTGAAGACCGAACCTCTGAAGGACCTGACGCACCAGGTGTGACTGTGTCAGAGTGATGGTGCGTGCTGCTCTGTCCCTAGAGATCTGCAGGCCAAGATAGCGACGCAACTCTCCAAGGTCATACAGGTGTGTCTCTTCAGCAGCTCGGCCTTCACAGAGGCCAGTGCGTCCCTGTCAGCAGTAGCAAAGACCAGGTCGTCTACGTAGACAAGGATGTAGAACGGAGTCTGGCCGGAACGCACAAAAAGCGACGGGTCAGCAGAGGACGGAAAGAACTGCAGGTCTGCTAACGTGGCCCGCAGCGTGTCGTGCCACTCGCGAGGAGCCTGACGCAGGCCGTAGACCGGGCGCCTGAGAAGCCACTGGGTCCCAGGGGGGAAGGTACCAGTGAAGCCCTGTGGTCGGCGCAGGTAGACCTGCTCGTGTAGGCTGCCCTGAAGAAAGGCAGTAGAGAAGTCGAGGGAGTGAAGCTCGTAGTCGCGCTGTGCTGCTACGTGTAGCAGCGCCCGAAGAGTGGTCATCTTCGGGGTCGGGGCGAAGGTCTGAAAGAAGTCAACCCCCTCACGCTGACTGAAGCCTCTGGCCACGTAGCGCGCCTTGAAGACAGGCGGCTCTCCAGGGGGGCGCTTCACCTTGAAGAGCCACCGACCATCGACTACGTTCACCCCAGGCGGGGGAACTGCGTCGACGTAAGTGCCGGTGGACCTCCAAGATGCCATCTCCTGCTCCATGGCAGCTATCCACTGAGAGGCCCAAGGTCCCGAGGTGGCCTCAGCGTAAGTGCGAGGGGTCGGGATGTCGAAGGCGTCTGGGTCACCCTTAGGGACTAACAGCATGGAGCAGAGATGGGGAGCAGCCTCGGAAAGGAAAGCAAGCTCGTACTGCCTGTCCTCTAGGACGTCACTGCCAAGGGCAGGAGCACCCCCGACGGACGGAGGACGGGCAGGGTCAGAGACCAGAGCGGTAGCGTAGTCAAGGCGGCGGGTAGAGGCGAAGTCAGCGACAGCAGCGACAAGCGCGTCAATGCGCGAGACCGGAACAGAAGGGTCGGTAACAAGAGAGGCAAGAACCCGAGGGACAAGGGGACGAGCGGCACGGAGGTAGTCAGAGAACGGAGGAGGTGCAACAGCAAGCGACGAGGGAGGAGGTGACGGGAGGAGGGGAGGACGAGACGAGTGGGAACGGAGCAACATAGGGTGGGAGGGCAGGACAGGAGAGACGGGACGGGCACGTGAGGGACGACGAGACCAAACGTGGGACGGAGGTGTAGGGTCAGGAGACAGCGGAGGGGATACAGGAGGGAAACGAGGAGGAAGAGGGGCCGGAGACGAGTCCGGCGGCGGGAACACAGGACCGTAGACAGGAAGGTCAGCAGGCGGTGGGGGAGACACCGGCGAGCGGTCAGGGGAGGGAAGGCCGAGCAGACGGAGAGCGGAGACCGGCGGCGACGGCTGCTGGGGCTGCAGCGGCGGCTGGGCCGCGACCCTCGGACCGGCAGAACTCTCAACGGCAGCACCCCCAGAACCAACACCCCCAGAGCGAGAACACCCTCCAGCACCAGCGGCACCCCCAGGCCCGCCGGGACAGACCACTCCAGGCGCGGCAGGACGAACACCCTCCTCGACGCCAGCACCCCCAGGGGCCAAGGGCGGCAGCGGCGACGGCGGCGACGGCGGCTGCAGCGGCTGCGGCGGCGGCGGTGGCGGCGGTGGCAGCGGCAGGGAAGGCGGAGACACTGGGGAAGGGGGACGCGGCAGGGACGGGCCAGGGGGACCACCAGAGTCAGCTGACTCCTCAACTGGGACAACCGACGGGAGGGGAGTGACGTGAGAGACACCAGACGGGGCAGGACGAGGCGGGAGAGGAGCAGGGACTACCGGGGGAGAGGGAGCAAGGAAGAGGGGCGGGGCAACCGGGAGACCTCAGTGAGGGAAGCAGCGGTAGAAGGAGACAGACTCGTCAAAGGTGACGTCACGGGAGTGGAGGAAGCGGTGAGACGGCGGGTGGTAGAAGAGCCAGTCAGACGAGTCTAGGGGGAAACCGAGGAAGACACAGGGGACAGTGCGGGCCGTGAGCTTGTCCGTACCAGAGGCACGAACGTGAGCAAGGCAACCCCAGACGTGGAACGCAGACGCGTCACCGGGGGACCCGGTCCAAAGGAGGGTCGGCGAAACCTGCGGCCGCTGGGAGCGGGGCCACAGGTTAAGCTGGTGAGGAGCGTAGCGGACAGCGAACGGCCACAGAAAATGGGGGGCATCGGCATGGATCATGGAGGTACGAGCCACCTCCATGACCAAACCGATGCGGCGCTCAGCAACCCCATTCTGCTGTGGCGAGTCCGGCAAGGTGTACGACTGGGTGATGCCCTCCGCACGACAGAACTGTCCAAGCCGACCAGAGGCGAACTCACCGCCACGGTCAGAGTGGAGACACAACACAGGGAGACCACGGTGAAGACGTGCAGCCACAACCCACGGGAGAAGAACGTCGGGCACGTCGGCCTTCCGCTCCAGGGGAAACACCGTGGTGTAGCGCGTGTAGTCGTCGACGAGCACAAGAAAGTAGCGCTCACCGCACGGTCCGGGGACGGGGGCCGGGCCCCAAACGTCCAGGTGCAGGGTCTGAAGGGGGGCAGTAGCAGGACGCAGCGAGGAGGAGTGAGGAGCACGGCGGAGCCGGCCCTCGACGCAAGGCGTGCACGGTGGCGCAGTCGAGGGTGGGAGGGCAGGGAGCGACGCGGGGAGGCCTAAGACAAGACCGTGCTGAGACATGTGACGCAGACGTGGGAGAGCAGGGTGACCTAAGCGGTGGTGCCAGAGAAGGGACGGGTGAGTGAGGGACCGACACGAGCAAGCTGCAGCGACCTGGGAGGACGCACCAACCGGGGGGGAAGCGGTGTCGAGGGTAAACAGACCAGACACCGGGTCCCGGGGGAACGTCGCAAGAGGGGAACCTGAGACTGCCTCGGTACAGACAGCGAACCGCTCGTGCCCAGGGAACGTGGTGGTGACGCCGAGGTCCTGAAGACGGCCGACACCAACCAGGTTCCTGGAGAACGAGGGAACGTGGAAGCCTGTAAGAGAGCCCGAGGGAACGGCTGGACAGGGAAGGGAAGTGGAACTGCGAGCGACGACAGGACCGGCAGAGGGGTCAGCGAGGGAGACAACCGCAGGTGCAGCAAGCGGCGTGAGCGTGGACCGGTCACGGAAGAAACAGGCAGAAGCACCGGAGTCGAGCGTGAAGGACAGCGAGGCAGTGGCAGAGGCCGGGGACGGGGGGGGTGCAGAAGCTAGGCTAGGCAACCTAGGCAGTCCTACGCCTGACGCAGCAGGGGAAGCTAAGCTACACAAGGGTGAAACACCTAAACTAGAGTACACAGGGTAGTAAGATCCAGCAACACTAGAAGCGTCAGCATACAAAGCATGCAAAGCAGCACCTATCTGATCCATGTTTAACTCAAAGATCGGCACGCCCTGGCGGAGCAGGCTGTGCCAGTCAGGGAGGTCCGGGGCCGGGCCAAAGCGATGACGAAAAAGATCGTCGAGGCGGCGGAAACAGCGGGCGGTCGGGTGCGGGCGACGGCACAGAGTGCCGCGGAGAGGCCCTGTCTGAAGCTGGTACTGGCAGGCCACAGCACTGGAGCCGCTGGTAGACGCCAAGCTGCGCGGGCCGCCACCACGGCCACCGCCTCCGGAGGTGCCGGGCCAACCAGGCGGGAGACGAGCCCACGGCTGCGGCGGGT